AAGAAAAAAAACTAATTACAATCATCAGTAACCGAAAACTCAATAGTACAATCTGTTTATAGTGAAGAATATTATTAATCATTTTTTAGATTATGAAAAAGGAAAATTACGAATTCAAATTAGATTACAGCTAACACTGGAGTTCAGAACGCGTGTTCTGTCCTATTTGCAACCAGTGAGCTGGATGCGCCTGAATTCCTGCGTTTATGTTAAGACTGAGAGCTGGTGTTGTTAAAGCTTGTTACTAAATATCACTACTGAGGTTGTCTGCATAGAATACATATATGCCTATAGAAACTGACTAATTACCATCTATAAAATCTACAACGAGTAAATGCTATATCTTAAAAATCACTTCACATTCATTGGAAAAATTAGTGATTATCTACACTCAGTAGCTAACTAGATAAGAAAGTATTAGGTACTGGGTTGGAAATTTTGTGTTTCATTATTGAGATTCTGGAAAATTAGTTGACGAGTCCTATATAGGACGGAACACAATTTCTGGATCCGATTACTAGCTAAAATTTAACTGCATCAAAGTTTTCGACTAAATAGTAACGTCGACATAACACATTTTAGATGTACATATGCCGATAGAGCTGAATCCCAGTCATTTTAGTAGCCTAGTGTAGTACTTTTTTTGAAATGGTTCATGAACCTCAGGTTGAACTAAATTGATCGAATTCGTGAAAATGGGTCTTATTTTCACTGTTAAAAACTTAGTGAGTAAGTGAACAAATCATGAATAGTGTACATCCATAGGGGTATTTATTAAAAATTCTGGGTTCGATTCAACTAAAATTACGAACACAGGTTTAATGTATTGTGTATAAGTTAACGGTATTTATGTGGAGCATGCGAAAGAAGCAACAATAGAATTCTCAGTAATAATAATAGCATAGGATCATAGAACGGTTAACTTCATATGAATTATACCTAAATTACGATATTTGAAAATGAGATTTTACCTTGGTAAATTTTAATACTTTTAAAAGTGTATAGTTTATCCAATTCATAATCAGTTAATGTAAGACATGCGTTTCATGAAATCTTGGACAATTTACTATTAGATAGTAAAAACGATGCGTAAAAATTAAAATGGATTATATCATGAAATTTAGAAACTAATATAGCAGTTCCAATCGTTTCCGCTGATGTTATTTAGGTAATTATTTGATTCAGTTCTAATTTTATTTCATTCTAAACACGAATAACCAAACGGAATGTTTATGCTGTTCCTTTACTTCTGTTTCCGTGTAAATGTAAATGAAAGTCCTGACAACAACAACGAAAACCATTTGTTAGCCAATTTTCTTGCTTGTTCCGTTCATGCCCCCCCTTCTCTTCATTAGTGTCATACTTTGATCTTCTCATATCAAAAATAAATAAAAGAGCTAAGTAAACGGTACGCAGAGTAATCAACAGAGAACATTCAACCAAATGGACAGTCATTATCTAATTGTCGAATTAAATCACATATTAACCAATCATCTCATTGACCACTTTCCTTAAAGACATGTTAACATATTGTTGTGATACTTTGGCTTCTGGTGGCAACTATAATGGTAAGAGAAAGAGCATAGATTAAGAAAGGCGGGAGGACATAGTTGCGTGATCAACTTTCTTTTAATTAATTGAATAATTATACCCTTCTCAAATAATTGTTTAACTTGACTCACAGTGGTATTGTACCTCGCTAAAAACTAGATTTATTATATTTGTTATCTAGCTATAGAGGCGGATTTTTAAAAAGTTGAGTTTCGAGACCTAGCAGGAGGTGGAAAATTGACAAGATGGTCAGATTAGTGATTAATAATTGTTTGCATTAGTGGTACGAAATGTTGAAGTAGATATCATTCTATCATGATGGTCACACTAGTTATATTAACAAATTTTTTACTCATTATTTACATATCACTGAAGTTAAATATACAACTGAATGACCTGGGCAGTCGTGAACTTTTGATTTTTGGGTGAATGAGACCACTGACCATCAACACAAAAAACATATTTCACACGGCATGGTTAAACGTCCTCATATTCTTAGCGAAACTATATGCTTAAATGAAAGAAATCACTTCATTTTTAGCGTTTTTTCTATTAGTGAAAATTAAGGAGTACTTATTCATGATTTGTGGTAGTTATCATATCACTAATATGTGTTTTCTCATTGACTACTGATTAGAAAATGTGATGTCTTTATATGCGAATGTATGCATCATCTAGTGGTTAAGACATTTGCTGTAATTCTAGTTAACTAACATGGATCACAGATATTTTTCATACTGCGTAAAGACATTTGAAAAAATGTACCTGGTCTGAGATTTTTCTACATTTTTCAACGTTATTTTTTTCATTATTCCATATCAGATATCTTTGTGTGTGTGTGTGTGTGTGTGAATTCATTAATGAAGTGTTCCAGTAGGGAGATATATTTTTTATTAATCATCTTCGTAAACTAACAAGTTATGAAGATAAATTTCACGAATTCCATTTACTAAAATATAAGATCTACATTATACCTCTCAAAATGTTATAAATATATGGTTTAGTGGTAACGTCTCTGAGTGATACAGATCCGAGTAATTGAGGAGATCCCATTATTTCTTCTGAGATCATGACCATTGTCTTATTAATGATGAATTCTAATGTCAGATGAAGGCTGTTTGCCGAAACTTGATTAAAATTCCAATTTGATGACAGATATATGATCTGAATCATAAATAAGGAACATTCATTAAGCTTAGTGGTTATACGAGTCAGACATTCTTTTACTTACTGTATCATTAACCTGTCCCATAATATTTACTTTACATTCCAAACAAGATAAATTATTGTTTAATGCATTTAACAAAATTCACTAAAAGAGAATTTCATTAACAAAGACTTATCTCTTAAAAATAAAACGATCTTTTTTGCCACAAACGGTTGTTGTTTAGCTAATATTATTTGTTTTAAAAAAACACAATGTAGAACAAAGTCAATGATTATCGAAGTTTGTTGCTGGGCTCGAATGACAACAAGTTGTTGTTATCGTTATTTCAATTTGGCTATATCACATGTGCACGCCATCTGCGAACTTATTTACATTAAAAATAAAATTAATTCTGTCAGTTTATTATTCACTGCTATAATAATCAACACTGATTGATTTATTGAGTTATAATGACTTTCAAAGGCTTGGTTATACAAAAAACAAACACAAAAAGACTATTCATTTCGACTAGTCTTATCTCTGTATCCATTGCCAAAAAAACCCAGTGAATTTTCTCCCCCCTCTATCATTTTCTCGTTTGCTTTTTTGAATGTGCATATACGCAAACACACTTTTACGCTTAATTATTGTAAGCAGAGAAATAAAGTAAAAACAACTGAACATATTTTCAGTTCTTATTTGTGAATTAAATGAGGCTTGTTCAATTAAATACATAGCTGAACTCGGTTAGTCAGTAAATCAATCTGTTGACTGGGTATTAAGTCACTTGACTTGACAACAACCATAAACAAACAGCACAACTTTTCTGTTTTGGCAGTTTTTTTTTCTGATTGTAAATGGAATGATTGTTAATGATTTTATTATCATGACTGACCATATAGTGACTGACCCAGTGGAATTAGCTAAAAAAATGGATTGAACTAATAAACATGAGGTTCATTCCGAGATTTCAACATTCCGTTTAAAGTATCAGATTTATTTTTCTACAAAAATATACCAAAAAAATATTTCACATATTCAATACAATGAATAACTTTGAAATAATCTCAATGGTTAAGAGCATGAGTCAGTTGAAGCTAGACCACCATGGAAAACCTGGAAGCACTGGAGGTGGTTGTCTAGCTTCAAATGACTCATGATCTTAACCATTGAAATTATTATAATATCCATAAAACCCATCTGATAATAACTTTAAAATAGTTGACTGATTTTAGTTAGCCGAGAAAGTACATAATCCCTGAGCGTATCAAGTCGGTAATTACAAAGAGTTTATTAATTTTACCATAAATAGTCATATTTCAATGCAGAAAAATGGATCATACGAAAGTAGAAAATTTTAAATAGAAAGGGAATTAGTATGAGAAGGGAAATACAGAGAAAGAGTTCTAGAACAACGATAAATAATACTAGAAATCACAAACAGCTAGCATTTGTTTTCATTAGTTCACTCCATAAAGTTGTAATCAGGTGTTAAATAATAATAAATGATGAATTAGTGATTTTAATGTGAAGATTGGGGCTATAGGTTTTGCTATTCTGAAATTACTGCTAATGACTTAATTCAAACTATTAAACTGGCAACTAAAATTCATTAACACTTTTGATCGTCAACCAATGTTTTCAAGCTATACAGAATCTTAGTGAAAAAGATTCGAAAATCAAGAATGTTACATGATTTCGCGAAGGAAAAAAAACGAAGTCTCAAATATGTGTTTTTTCAATTCACCATAATGTAAACCATTAAGGAGTTGATAGGTTAATTTTGAGCACATTTCTACCTAGGTAGAACTCTTGAGTAGGGTATGAAAAATTTGCCATTCAAATAAGAAGAATTCAGTTGAAATATTCCAGTCCTCAGACAATTAATATTTACCATCATCTCTTCAACATAATCGTCCTTCTTTTAAATTAACTTCACTGATAAATGCTGACTTAATTAATTTATTTATGAATAATTCATTTCGACAATTAATTGAATGGGATTTCAGTTCTATGATTATTTTCTTAAATAAAGTTAAATCTCTTTTCTTTCGAATATCATCTAGATGCATTCTATAGACTAATGATCTGACAATGAATGTAACATCTGATCAAGGCAATATAAATTTGAAAATTATTATTTTATTAGCCAACAAATAATCTGCATATATTTTAATTTAACTTGAATGTGTTACATTTCTCAAGTAAAAAAAGAAGAAGATGATGAGTTTCTTTATTTATGGTCATTTTTGTTATTCTTCTTCTTATTTTTTTGCAGAAGACATATCACTTCTGTCAGAGTGTTAGAATCCATAAATTATAAAAGTATCCCTTTTGTAGATAAATTGGATTTGTCTTAAGGCAGAAACAATGAGAGGTAGACAGTGTCCATGTGTGTGCGTGTGCGAGAGAGAGAGAGAGAGAGAGAGGGACAGAGGAATCAACTTGTGACAAGAAATAATTTTAATTAGGAATTCTGTTGAATGTTGTGTTTGTATACTTTTTATATTAGTTTGCAATTTCTCATCAAAATAGTTTATTTATTTCTCATCATAAATTAAAAGGTGAAAACTGGGCCAATAGGCTAAAAAGAATAATTTCTTCAAAAATATTTTGGTTTTCACTTTAAGATCTGTGCGTAAGTATAAAAAAAAACTGTTACTTATAGAATATAGGTTGAGGATGAGATTGGAATATAAATATGTATACAGAGGATGGGAGGACAACAGGGCATGTGTCAGACTGTATTTAAGGCCAAGAATGGAAGTAAAACTATACATAAATTTGTTTTCTTGTTCGTTTAACAAAAAAAAAACAAAACAAATTTGTCAGACATAATGTTACATAATTATAGCTTATTATTTATATTCTGATAACAAAATGGAATCAAATGCTGTTCATTAACTTTACTCCTTCTAAAAAATTCGGTGAAAGACTATAGATACTAACTCTAGATGATGTAAACGTAATGGAAGAAACTAACAACTAAAAGAATAAATACTACGGTTACATTGTTCGTAAAATGTCAGTTTCACCTTGAGGACATTTCTGTGTTAGGTCAGATATACAAACAACATTAGCAGAGATAATGTGAAGATGTTATGAGAGAACAACCGGTTTGAAAAATCACTAGAATAACCGAACACGTATTCCAGTCAGAGACAAAATACCTAACCAAGCCATTCTAATTATTTATTTATCAGATCACTAGTAATTTATTGATAATAAACCTGAAGCGATGAAAATAACTAAGGAGGGCATACTTCTGCTTGTTACATCAAAACACTTTTATATATAATGAGTTGAATGTGAATAAATTTTTTAGTCTCAACTTGCTGTCTTGTCCAGGGAGGAAAGTTTTGTTACAGTTATGCTCAAATTACACTTTTATACCTTATTTATTTAATAAATCAGATCCCATTCTACAAATACAAATGATTCATTTAGACACTATATTATGAAACTCCACAGATATGAACACATTTATCGATTGTAATTCAACGAGGCTCTTCAGAACGACCACTAAACTTCGTCTCTCCGGAATGAAGTTGGATCTTTCAATGAGTAAATGAACAGCCATAAGCATACTAATCACTCACACGGCTACATGGTTTGTAATTGATATCATGCTCTAATACCTAATACCTGAAGAAAGGTATTGTTTTAGGAGCCCAATTTTTCCGGAAAAATAATAAATTCCTATCACTTTTTATTTTATCATATTCATTATTGGTTATTCTGTACTCTTTTGTAAGGAGACTTTGTATATTATTGTGCAGACTACTTCTCCAATAAAGTGATCAGTTTTCAGCTAATTCTTTTTCTTACTGTTCTTTATTTACAGGAATGTCAGAATTCTCTTACGGAAGATCTCTCGCTTATGTTGAATTTCCCTGATTCCATTTCAGATGGTAATCAGTCTTCAAACCACTCATTGAATAATAACAATAATAATAACATCAGTAATAACAACAATATTATACATCATACAGATGAAATAAAAACCAACTTAACTTACACAATTGATCGAATTTTGTTATCGGAACACGAATCACCAAACTCTGATTTGCTATTAAGTGTATCAAATCACTTAACTAATACACTGACAGATTCAAACCACACAAAAAAATTAACTCAATTTAATTCCGATAATGTTGATACGGGAAATCAGAGTTACGTAAACAATGAATGGCTTTCTACTGATCAGTTAATTAATGGCTCTAATTCTACTAATAATTGTAGACCAACACAACCATTCTTTTCATCTTCATTGGCTGAACAGTCATCACTGTCTTCTTCGTCATGTTCACAAACAGGTTTTCAATTTTGGTTTAGTATATTTTATAAACTTTGGTTGGAACAATTCAATCAAGTTCAATCAAAACCAATTGATTTCAGTCAGTCTGTGTCAGGGATGAGTTCGAAGAAAACAGATGAAATTCAGTTTAAATCATTTCCGTTTAGTAATAACATAAATATTCATGCGGATAACAGTAGTGATAGTTTTCTATTCAATTCATCAATACATCCTTCAGTGAATACATCGAATGATTTTCGGACGTTAGAAAGTTTTACAGAAAATCTTTTTGTGAAACCATCTCACATGAAAGAGGATTATTATCACCGATCAGATTCATTGTCTTTAAACACTAATTCTACACTGTCCCCTCAATCATGTTGTATTACAAATGATATCAGCAACAATAAACGTAAGCAGAACGATAACTCGAATGCTGACTCTGAATACAAACAACAACCCTTGTACAGAATGTGCGAAAATGGTACAAATCTAAATACAGCACACTTTAGTGATTTAAAAAATATTTCCCAGTCAGTTTCTCAACCTCCTCAATCAAAAACGAGCAACAGTCCGGATAAAAATGAATATGATTATGCTCATAACTTATTTTCATTTCAGATGAATAAAATTACAACTCCTTGTAGTAATCCTTTGATGACAATATTAACACCATGTACGAAGAAATATAGTGAGCACCACTATAATTACCCACTACCTACTTCAAGTCACTCTCTTCCTTCTCAATCGATAACATCGACTGAAAACTCAAAATACTCAGTAAATGTTGTACACAAGTCATCGATTTTATCTAACTATAGATTACATTCAAACTACTCAAGACTACGTGGAAAATCCGTGATTAGTGGTAACATTTCAAACGATAATTTACAACAACGTGGGTACCGAGCTTTACCATTCCCATTAACAAAACGCGATGGCCGCATGCATTACGAATGTAATATATGTCGCAAAACTTTTGGACAATTATCTAATTTAAAAGTGCATTTACGTACACATACAGGTGAAAGACCATTCCGTTGTGATACATGCCATAAGGGCTTTACGCAGTTGGCTCATTTACAGAAGCATAATTTAGTACATACCGGTGAAAAACCACATCAATGTACAGTGTGCGGGAAACGTTTTAGCAGCACAAGTAACTTAAAAACACATTTACGACTACATAGTGGTGAAAAACCATTTGCGTGTAAGTTATGTACAGCCAAATTTAGCCAATTTATTCATCTAAAATTACATCGGCGTTTACACGCCAACGAAAGACCATTTATTTGCCCAAGATGTCATCATAAATTTCTCGATTCAAAAGGACTGAAGCAACACTGGAGACGAGGAATCTGTTATTCTTGCGAAGAATTACCTCCAGGTAACTGGAGTGATATGGATGGTGATGAGGATGCCACTGAAACTCAAGTCAGAAAAACACCTTCTTCAGTAAGTTCCAGTAATCACAGACAACAACACCACAAGCGTTCAAATAGAATTTGTGATATGGACATTACGGATGACAGTGATATTAGCCACATTACTTCCACGACTACTGATAAAGGAACTAATAAAAGACGCCATTTTCCCACAAATATGATTCCCATGTATATAACACCATAAAAATGTGAACGAGGTATACCTCTAGTTCCTAGGTGTGATAATTCTGTGAAAGTTATCGAAATTGTCGTGAATACTTCAAAACAGATTTTTAACTTACACTGAAATTCTAAATGACACGGGTACACCTTTTTAAAAATATGGCTGTGTAACATAAAAACATATTTTCAATCCTTGAAAGAAAGACAAAACTTTTCCAGTCTTATATAGCTAAACAAATAATATATTCAAATACCTAACTGTATATTATTTAAACTAGCAAACAATTGCGTCTATTGTGTAATTTCGGAGTGAAATATAGTATATTTTGTTAACTAGTTCTGTTGATTCGGGATTTTAAAGAAACTTGTGAATATACAATAGCAGAATATTGAGATTTAGGAAAAACAAAGTAATTTCGACTATGATGACTACATACGTCTGAGGTTTCGGTGAGAATCTATTGCTCTAAGGATTAGCCTGACATACTACCATAATGGTTGTTATCTTATTTAATCTTTCTAAGAGTTATGAATTTATGATTCCTCGACTAAACAGAAAAAAACATTGGAGAGGGAAGCATAACGGATAAGAACTGCTAAGTTGTGAATGAAGAAAAGTGTAAGTTAATACATGACATAGTTTACATAGTATTCGGAACATTTTCTTTGCACTATCAAACTTAATCTGTTCAAACATTCAAAGACAGAGTGAGCCGTTGTGATGTTTGCTTAAAGCCACATTAGCTGGTTATTTCTTTGATATAAAATCACTAAAATGGCCACGAAAGTACAATCTCTGTAGTTTTGTCGTACACGAATGGTAATTTGAACCCACTCACCAAAACATACATTTAATTTTCAAATATCGTTTACTTTTAAAAGTTACTTCTTGACCAATATCTTTGGCCTGTTCATTCACCACTCACCAACCATATTTCTTCCATGTTTGAGAATCCTAGTACATGAATTTGATTCCGTGATAGAAATTTTCCTTCATTTAATTTACTCATAATACTTTAGACTTGAGCATCCAGCATTCTCACGAAGTACGTTTACAAATCATAGGTATAAACCGAATACAACGTGTTCTAAGATTCCTAGACAAAGTTTCTGAAATATTTTGCCTTTCGTTATCACCTTTGTTACCTGTGTAATCTAGAGCTAAAAGCTAGTCGACAGAAAAGTTATTTTCAGAATGACATTTGGGGAAAAATATGTCACAAGTTGAGCTGTGTCCACGATAAATAGCACTCAATAATCAGTGAAAATGATGGGTTTCATCCGCTTGCACAGCACTGGGTAATTTCAAGTGGATCTACGAAATCAGGACTAACCATACTTTTGAACGAGAAAAATTGCCACATGATGACTCCATAGAATCTTCATATCATAGAATATGGGTTAACATGAAGGGGTAGTATGATTATATTATTAAATTTGATAGACATTTAAATGAAACATCTCCGAAAATGTCAGCAGTCTACCTTATTCCCTATAATTTTGAGGTCTTTAAGAATGACTGAGCCTCTAATAATCATTGTCATCCTTAAAGAATAAGACGGACCTTTGTCATCCTAGTGGTCACGAAAGTAATTCTGACATTTCTTATAACTTGGGATTCTGAAGACAATTAGTCTAATTACTGGTGCCTAATTGTTACTAGTGAATAAATTCAATGTTGCTTTGGCCTATTTTCGTCTTTTAACAACCCGATTCACTAAACTCTGGCTAGGCAGAGAGAGACTAGGCATTGAACCAACAACAAATGAAGTGTTTTTATTCTGTTATATTCACCGGACTGTCGCTGCTACCTTGACGTGATGGTCGGGCTCGCCAATCGTGACGAACCAACCGGGCTATACTGGATATAACAATCGTTCCTCAAGGTTCTACCATGCCAGGCAGGTCGGTTTAAGAACAGCAAGACTAATAGCAACAAACCCAAGGACCGAGGGCGAAGTCGTACCGCTGACTGTACAGAAGTGTGACGGCACTGAAGTGCTTCCTTCAGACAATCAGCATAACAGCGATTCTGTCTTCCCACAGGGAAGGATGGAGTTAGAAGAGGTCGATCCTAAGAAGCCACACTTCGCCTTATCTCATAGGTTCGAACACGGAGCTAATACAAAAAGGTCGTGTGTGACCGGCCTCAAGCAGCTGTCCTTTGTGCACTGCGTTCACGCTCTAAGGTCGCTAAGACCAACTTTAACCCCATTTCCTTTTCAGAGACCTCTAGAAGAACCTTTCCACCGTTTAAGTAACTGGGGAATGATAACCACCCTCATACCTCTAACAGCACCCAAGACCACTGTATTCATAATCAATTTCCCTCTTCATAACCGCTGACTTATATCCCATGAGAAGAATCTCACTAATTGATTCCTAAAAAAATAACATACCAAGAGATGATTGAAGTCCTTTAACAAAGTATCATTAGTGATCATCGTTTAGGCTTTTAATAAGTTTACATTTCAGTAGTATTAACTCTTGACCACACTTCTAATATCGGGACTAAGCATGAACACAAGCCACTGTAGATTTCAAGTGATTGACGAAACAACACTCATGTAGTTCTGATTATAAATTTTTGTCCAACTTAAGTTGCTTTGGGATATAGAGTACATTCGATTTAATACGAAATCCTAAAACCGTCATGTACAGAAACAAGATGTGACATTGGAGCTCAGTGTTTCCTGCGGAAACCAAACCCACAATCTTTTGGCTCTCAAGGGAACGCTTAACCCATAGTGCACTAACCTGGGTCGGGATAGTAATATAGGTTTAATCATTTATAATCAGTATAAACACAAATTCATGTTATTTATAGTCGAAGTCTCTTATTTCCAACAAAAAAGAAGTGTTATGGATAATCATTTTCCTTGATACTTCTTTTCCAAAGTTGTGTAACATAGTGTCAAAACAGCAATCATTTCGTAAAAACAAATGAAATGCACTACAGAGGACAGAGCACTTGTGATTCAAACCATACAGCTTTAATGACCATGTATTTGGCTTCCATGATATTTGTATTGTTTTGTACCAGTAGCTTTTACTGCAATACAGGTGCTGGACTCCACTTTTAATTCTTAGCCAAGTCACTGTAACGGTAACAGAAAATGGAGAATTTTTCAGTGTTAGTGGATTGAGTGTATTCACTTCGTTCAACGTTTCCATTGTATATTAGTTGTAGAAACAACTGTAACGTGCTAGTTCGTAAATTGCGAAGATAGTACGTTCATATAATGTTGAGAACTAACCCAAAGAAGAATACTCTCACTCTCTCTCTCCTGGAAAAAATGAATATATAGGGACGATGTATGGCATATGCTGAATGTGGGTTTAAAAATTCAATGAACAGACCTATTCACGGATAGAATCAACGTTTGTTAGTGTACAAACAGATAAGTGTATTTGATGGGTTCGTTTAATAGTCATGTTTTTCTACATTTTAATACGTTAAGCTCCGTTCAAACTACGTTAGCCTTTAAGTTACAAACTCTGTCCTCATGTTTAAGAAATTTCAAATTACTAACCTTTTACTTCGTCATAAATTAAATTCCTGTATTGTTATTTTCAATCTAGGTGACTCAATATGAGAAGAATTACGTTCTATAGAACCTTTATTAATTTTCATAGGTCTTACAATTTTATGCTTAAATCGTTCAGTCTATGATTTTGAAATTAGGTTTAAATAGTTGACCAAGAGAAAATAACTTTCAAATTGTAAATCAAATTAATTGAATTATAAACTGTCGATCGTCAATCACTAAAACACATCCATTTGGTTGAATAATAAGTATGATTAAAACAAAGTAATAAAATGTCCCCGGAAACATTTATTCATATATTTAAACAGTATATTTTATTTCTTAACAACATTAAAACATTTATCATTTACATTTATTTACGAATAGCTATGCTTATTAAATTGTTATTTACAAACCCTATGATGATCATCTGGTTAATTCATTCTTAACAGTTATCCGTCTTTCAGTCTACTCATCCTTCTGTAAAGTTACTTATTCACCAAAATGCGGGTTAAAAGGTAGCAGTTACTGTTGGTGATAGCAATGGCTAATTACGATTTGATAAGTTTATTAACTTTCCTGTATTATTTCAAATTTTAAATATTAAGAAAATAACGCAAAAGCAATAAAGAAATCGGTTACATAATCGAGTCAATTAATAATGGAAAATGATGATAATGACAAAGAGAATGTTATGTTTACTTCAAAGACTAACTGTGTCACCAAGTTACTATACATCAAAGGGTTTTCAATTTGTTTTTCTTTACTCAGCGGTCATTTAAGGGGGAGCAACAGTTAAATAATATAAATGATAATTAAATAAATCAAGTGTGAAAACTTTGAATCATTGCTTCAACTCTCACAGATAGGACATTATTTAACTGTTTAGTGTTCTTTGACCTTAGAGATTACACCACACCCGTTAGTAACTCCACCAACAATAACTTCTTAAGGTGTTCATATGAAGTATGGTTTGTTTAAACCACTAGCCTAGCGCTGAAGTACCTATGGTTTAATATTAATGTTGATAATTATTGTTATTAAATAAATTCTTAGTTGCAAATCTTTTCTATTGTCCAAGGATATACGTTTTTAAGTGAGAATGTCAGATAAATAGAAGTAGTTATGACGATGGTCATGGTAAATGACTTACAACTGTATCTAGTCATTAAGAAAGTCTCCTTGATACTTCAGAAAATACATCTCTTTAAGACGTTCGCGTGAATATTATTTACAGACACAGTTGCAAATATTACGGCTGTGTTATTAGGCCACAAAAAGTTGTTGTAGGGAATGATTATGTGCATAAATCAGTCTTCCGTACAAAGAGGCATATTAGTTATAATGATCTAAACAAATTCATAAAACTTATTAACCATGTCGCATATCCTCATTTAATTTGATTAATTGTTGAAGAGTACTGTTGGGAGAGTATTCATTCTCAATAACCCGTAGCTTCAAGAGAAAAATATAATGGAATGGTAATGTTAGACCTTATCGACCCAGTAGTTTGTCCTGAGTTCTTTTTGTAAATGAAGTCTCCAACATGAAAGTACTACTACGCTACTTATTCTAAAGTTACTATTAAGCATAAGGCATATTTCTTTTAACACTCCTTGGAACTCTTTACCTCCGATAAGTGCAGATAATTCTCTATTACGAACTGAAATGATTCCGAAAATCATTGAAAATCAAAAAGGTGTCAGTCAGATGCACATGATCAATACAGCAGCTAGCAAAAGTATGGACTGACCCTAGTTTCCCCACTCTGTATTGACATACAGACAGCAGAAATTAACCAGAT